GTCGATTTTAATGATATTTTTGAAAGTTGGGGTAAAAAGAAATCGGTAAAAGGTAAGGTGAATACTATTGTTGTATATCACACCCGGGCATCGCACTGTTAAGTACATGTGGGAAAGCCAGCCTTTGTCAAATACTACGAAGTTATTAATTCAGTACGGTACGTAGTTGCCCATTTGCCGAAATTACATATTTACTTACCCCTTATGGTTTCAAATAGTTCATGCACCTCCAGTTAGATTTTTTTAATCAGTGAGGATATATACTCATTGTTGATTGCTGCTCATTGTAACATACTATTACGCATTCACTTTTATTTGCGTATTGAATCAAAGTGTTAACAAGTTCACCTAACATTTCACTCATACCGGTCTATATTGTATAGTCTGATTTCTCAAGTATTTGGAGCCACGAATGCTTGTAATTTTCTGACTAAACCCTTTTATTAGTTGGTTTATATACCAAATTCAGTAAAATATTTTTTAAATAAAACATGAGATATTGGATTTATTAGCTTTTCCATTCTGAATCATATAGACTGCTTTATTTATTCTTAACGAAAATTAATAAATCTCCTCTCTTTCTTCAGATGTGAAAGTTGTGGACAAACCTGTCTAAGCATTGTGAGACTCTTGCAGCACAAGAGGCAATAGCAGAAATAGTAAGTATATCAATCAAGAAATTAAGCCGACATAAAGCAAAACTTTCAACTATTCGTCTAATCTCAATTTCCTATTATTTATTCACAGGACAACTATAGCAGACGGGGAGATATCAGAAGTCTGGCGACATATCAGTGACAGTGTGATTCCAAGAAATATAATAATTGAAAATAGAAAATTGCAATAGAAAAACAACCTATGGAGGCATGCAAAGACATTTGACCCTCCGGTAGAGTTGTGTATGGCCCCCACATCCTGCAGGGCTTGAGGAAAATAACTAAAAATTCCAAAGCGTAAGATTGCATAAGCGGTCTTATTTGTAAAAAGGCACAAAACACGCCAGACATACTTAAAACAGCTTTGGAAATGAGGATTACGGGTACCTCACTGCACCTGTGTTATATTTGGTTCATCAACTTTTGGTAGTACTATAGAAGAAATTCCGGAAGGGGTATAATCATCATTCATGATAAAATACTATCATATATTTTTTGAACAACTTCAATCTAGACCAGGGATCTCAAACTCGCGGCCCCAGAGAACTTCCAGTGCGGCCCTCGAACGCTTAACAATAATTGTAATAGTATTTTGGAAGTTTTTTTTTTATCTAAATGTAATAGATTTTTCAAACCTTCTAAAGTGAAATTGATTATTCACACAGAAAACAATTTACTGAAAGTAGTTTTGGAATATTAATTTTTTTTGTCCACATTTTGACCCAATTAAGAATACACATCAAGCTAGCAAAAGAATACTTGAATAAAACACTTGAGTAATTAAATTAAACGCAAAGTACATGAAGAAGGTGGCATTTTCGAAGAAAATGGGAGTTGTAACATTTCTGCTCTTCACAAAATTCTGAAGCACATTGTTTAATTTGTCATATTTCCATCAATACAATCAAAAAACACAATAAGCTCAGCAGTCAATATGACAAATTCGAAGACCAACTTCGAACAGAAAATTTCCATGTGTTTGTATATTAATATAATTATACAACGACTTAGTTACTAAAAATCAATATCAATAATAATTCAAGCAATCCTATGCCACGCAATGTAGTGCGAAATGTCTTGTCGAAAAAATCTGTCATTTGTTTTTTTACTGATCTATACATGAAATGATAAAAGTAACTTTTTTGCATTACTGGAATTAATTAAACATTCGTAAAGATCCAGATAAACCCATGATCATGTGGCCTCGTTAGTTAGAGTTGGTACTATAAAATCATTTCAGACTGGCCTTAGTATGCTGGTGACACAAAAAAGATGCCAAACGCCAGGACAAATGTAATTATTAAAACATTGAGTTTATACTGTAGTATTTTTGTTAATTTTAGGTTCATATATTTAGATTAAGTTATTTTTAGTGTATGTATTATTCTTTCCTTATTCAAAGCTTGTTCAAAAATGATTTTGATGGTTGTACATAGAATTTTACGATTTTTTATAATAAATACTGTAACTTGCAAATGTTGCAATAATAGTGGAATGCAAATATTAATATGTAATTGCATTTGAAATTGAAGAAAATAATAAAACTTAATCCAACTGTTTAGTTGCATCACAATATATGTCACAAACTAAAACTATCTTAAAAATATCTTTTAAGTATACATTATCAAAAACTGTTTGCGGCTCTTTTTACAATTTTCAAAATGCAATGCGGCTCTCGAAAACCCATGAGTTTGACACCACTGATCTATTCTAGACGATTCAAGCATTGCTTTGGGAAATTATATCACTTCAATTAAATTGAAATAATCTCGCTATATTAAATACAAAATCGTTGCTATCATAAAGGTAAACCAATTCAGCCACTCGAAATATATTGGCCTTCACAAAGCAATGGAGGCAAAATTGAGAGTTCATGAGCTATGAACATTTGTTCTTTTCTTTGTCTTGAACTTTCCATACTCCACAGCCCCTATTAATTTTTTTTAATTTTAATTACCATGTGATGGTCATACATATCTTTAACTTGTATTTTCTGTCATGATGTATTATCTCAATGTGCCAAACTATTAATTAGTGTGCATATTTTGCTTCCAGATGACATAAATGTATTGTCATGTTTATTACCTCAGCTTGGAGTATTGACAAGAAAAAGGTGCCAGTAAATTAGGTAAAAAAATTTTCAACTCATTGTTATAATCAGAATTCACAATCAATAGGAATTATAAACAGCCAACAATCAGTGAGAATTATATGCGAAATCCCTCAGAATAAATTTGTCTAAAATCGGAGGAAGGCAAAAAATATAGGTAGTTTCCATCCACACAAGCATTTCAAGAAGACTTGCTCGAGCCAAACTAAATGAGCATCGTCAGGTGATCGGTAAGGCTGCAAGTTGAATTCAGCCCTGCAACCTCCTGCATAGAAGATAATATTAATTAGTGGGCTATGAGCTAAATTCCTAAATTTAAACAAACCTATCTACGATGCATTATGTACCAGCAATGTTACCTACGATTAACTGAATATGTAATATGTCTAATAAATTCACCTACAAAAGCAAGTTCGATAGGTGCAAACTTTGTGTTATGGAATTGTATCGCAGCACAGTTTTGTATGACACCCTCTTTAAATGAAATTTCAATGATTAAGCGCAAACATTAAAATTACTAACTTTGAACTTTGTCATTATCTGCAAAATGTTCCACACAAATCTTTCCGCTATCGCGTTTGTAATCTTCTCTGATAAAAAAAAACGTCTATGATGTCCAGAATTGCTCTTTACAGCTTGCCTGTTACTCCAGCTTTCCAAGTAAGCAAAACTTCTTAGATATAGAGATTATTTTGTTTCGTTACAGGCGCAAAAAGGCAGGTACTACACGTAAAAACGACGCCGAGTAGCAAAAGCGAGCGGAAAACGGACGCGAAAGGCGACGAGAAATATGTGCATTGGAGCGTATCATGAAATACAATGTTTTGCCTGTAGTCTTATGGAGTGACGTCAGAGTTGCCTATCATGTTGTTTAATGTCATTGGTCAGACATGCTGCTTAGATGTGTTGTGTTCGTCTAGTTTGCTATGTTGCAATGTTGTATTGAGCATTGTTACGTCACTTTTTGCATCTTGCTGATTGGCCAATGTTACGGAGTAAACAAGGAAGTCGATGCTTGGGGAAAGGTCCATTGGGTGCTGTTTTGAAATCGCAGGGTTTGTGGCTGTCATATTGTAGGGGTGTTATTAGGACCTTGTCCGTGTTTGTGTCGTCTTTCTGCGGACCAGCATTCCCTTTCCGCGGCCCGATGGTTGCCGACTACCGGTACCTATTGATTAAGACTACATCTGACTCCTCGACTCTGTACAGTCACATCTGTCGAAGGGATAAACTGATCATCGGGCTTTCGTTGTTCAGGGTTGTGCATTGATAAAAGCCAGAGCAGACAGGCAAAAAAGGTAGGATACCGGTACCGTACAAAACCTTTTCAGATGGAACATAGGAAGGAAGATCAGGTGATAAAAGTTTATTTTAAAGTCAATTATATTAATTAAGCTGAGTGAAGTCTTGCGGTGTGGCGCATCGTGCTGAAGCATTAGGAATACGCTCGCCATCGCACCTCTGGTATGATCGAATCCCACGCTGGGATAGTTATCTTCCACCATCAAGTCTATCAGTCTATGCTTCCGAAAACAAATACTGAAATAGACTAACTAGCCTAACTACTGAACTAATCTTAAACGATACTCAACCAGGAATGGTAACCGGACGAGAGGCGTGGTTCGCCATATGGTCCGAAGCCTGCTGAGCCGTCTTTATCAGCTTTCCCTTCACCGGGATAAATATGTCAAATCCGTATCTAACGCCGTTAGGGAATATTGCTCGCCTTCGGCCACGGGCTCTGATCTACCTTGTACAGTTGTATGAGTTCGTCAGGTTCATATTCCATCATGGATAATTATGTGCAGGGGTACGGATAGGCAAGGCCCAAGGGGATTTACTTAGGAATCCCGCACAGCTTACGGCCAGCTATAGGCCAGATAGGGTTAGTTACCTTTAGCTTATAGTTTGCCTTACTCAGCTTTCCTTACCTCAGTTAACCCAGGGATAAATTACCTAATTATATGAATATCTTTTTCTCTACCCAAAGCCACATTTCACCATTGTGCCATTAGTTGTCAAGGAGACAATATTCGAGCTACTGTTACAGCTACCAGTACAGGAGCACAGTGTTACGGATGCAGCAAGCACGGTACGGTAATACAGCGTCCTGCCTCGCTGGTTTGTGACGTAGCAATGAACTAAAACAAAGCGCAATCTAAGAACGTCAACATTGTTATTCCTCCGAAAAAAATAATCTGATTTACAAAAGGAAAAAAAAAATTTATCTTAGCATTTATGCGATTTTAGTTGTGCATGTTTTAGCAAAAAAACGCAATCTCGGTCATTCTGATGGCCGTAATAAATTTGAATCAGGGTTTCCCGAACCGGGGGTCCGTGATGACTGCACAGAGGGTCTGCAACGATATGAAAAGAGTCTGATCGATTTTCAATGATTGATTTTAATCAAAAAGCCGAATTGAATATTTTTGGTTAAGCAATGCGGACGAATATTCATTGCTGTCAGAAGAGGAAATTAAAATTTTTTTACATTTGTCTTTTGCTACGACCTACGTGTTTGAGTCAGCGTTTTCAGCTTGTACCAACGTGTGCATGGAATCTACTTAATGTATTTTATATTACCCGTTGAAATGTTTTTTATTAGCTCTGAAGTTTAAATTCTTGCATTTACTGGTTCACATTACAGTACCTGTTTCAGTTGGCAAACAGGATGACATAATTCAATCGATAGGAATTCTTTTAAATCAAAAAAGCAAATACTAGAATACGGAAATAGACTAGGTACACACTGTGAATATGGAAATGAACTGCTGCGATGAGCTGGATCTGTCAGATTCTTCATTTTCATATTGCTTCAACGACAGCACATTCAGTTCCAGAATTTTGACCGGTCTGAATGATCTACGTCTGGAGAAAAAATTTTTTGATATGACAATATGTGTTGGAGAATTTAAGTTCATGTGCCATAGAATAGTATTAGCATCAGCGAGTGATTACTTCAGGTATGTTTTCAAAATGTAATTTGTACCAGCCTATTTCAACAAACATCATGCATCTGCTTCAAATCAAATCCTGCTTGAACTTGCTGGCCATGGCTCCCTCAAATGCGTTTAAATGCAATTTATAAATGCAGTTCATCTGATGTAGGACTAAATTCCTTCTTTTGACTGCTTTATTACTTTTAAAATATTGTTAGTGTTCCTTCTAATGTATATATATATAGTGATGTTATGTTTATTGTAATATTGTATTTAGTTATAACTAGCATTCATGGTTTCTCATATCCTTCTTACATATCTTTTCTCTGCTTCCGACAACATCTAAAAAAATTTGATGATGATAAAACAATGTGGAGAATCACAAGATTTTTTTTAATAATTCAAAATGACTGTTCAAATTGAATTCTCGAAAACATGCGATAATACATATATTTAATATTGAAAATATTTTTTGAAATTAAACAAGCTAAACAGATTTCACCCAATTGATGACTTGATTTAGAAATCATATCTGTACCTATTTATACATGAAAAATGCTTAAAATAAATCTTTATCTTGACACACACATTGCGAGACTCAGTATTCCATATTTGAAAATGGTTCGAAAGTATTTTAAAATTAAACTATTCAGACCACCCCTAAATAACAAAAAAAGTAAAAAGTGCTAAGCATGCTTTCTGTCCAATGACTATTGTATCAAAATGAACAGCTTGTTTTTTAACCTATGTTAACAAAATATATTTTAAAAACTAAAACACAGTTCATTATTTATAGAGGAATGTTTGGAGGAAGAATGCGTGAAAGCTTCTCAGATTCTGTTAGTATATTTGATGTTGATCCAGACACCATGGAACTCCTCATTGAATTTTGTTATACGAGTCAAGTTGAAATCAATACAGAAAATGTTGAGAGATTAATGAAGGCTGCTGATCTATTTCAAGTACGTTTGATTTTTTATTTCATGTTTTTTACATGTAATAAATTTATCTTTGTTGAGGATAATTCAGAAATAATCTTTTATGGTAAAACACTTTATTTATGGTCCATTTTAAGTTATATGAATATTATGTTTTCTTATGAATTATAACACAATACTTATTTGTGCAAGTTTTTGCAGTGAATTCGTGATTTTTCTATGTTAAATTTTCGTTAGTTTCAATATTAGTTTCATTTTGATTAGTTGAAATGGAAATTATTTAAAAGACAAAATTCTGAAATAGAAAAGATCTATGTGTCATTGGAGCAGATTCTCTTTTCAGCAATAATGTGGGTTAATTGGAGTAATGCTGTAACATGTGATCTAAAATCTTATCCTTATGAACTGCTTGCCTGAGAATTTCTGTCAATTAGTCTCAATAGAAATTAATTTCATAGAATTGAAATGACAGAAAGTTTTGCTGATGTCTGGTTTTATTTAATATTTTACCAGTTCCCTACAATCAAAGATGCTTGTGGTAACTTCCTTCTGAAGCATTTACATCCAAGTAACAGCTTAAATATAGAGAGATTTGCTGATGGATTATCCTGCTCTAAACTTGCAGAAATGTCGTTCAATTACACTTTACAGCATATTGTTGAGGTCACTCTTACAAAGGATTTCATGAATTTGAATTTCAATAAATTGTTAGAGGTAAGAATAATGAATTGAAAATTACTACTTTTCTGACAGAACCTTTAAAACCAACTGATTTGTAGTATAGTGCATGTCACCCATGTGGTTATTTAGGATTCAATGACATGTTCTGGCTCGTCTGGGTTAGAATGAATATAAAACTTCAAAAGGTTAGGGTAATTCTTGGAGTAAGAGGGGAATGGAGGGGGGGGAAGATGGTTCACAGTTCACACAATACATTTTTTTTTCAAATAAGATGTTAGCCAAATATCTAGGCTTTAATATAGAAATGAATGCGCAATTGGTGACACACACCAAGTTTTATTCCCAGGGAAGATTACAATTAAATATCATCACTTTTTAAAAAAAAAAAAATACGAATAACCTATCCATACATGATCAACAATTTCTGAACAAATTTGATGTCTTAAAATTGAAATTGTTATGGCATTACAAGTACCAATCAGACTTCTCAGCACATTTCTGGCTGTTATTAAAGCACACTATCAACATTTTGAAAAAGAAAGCTAAGTTAAAATAAAATGACATGTTATGATGATGATATTGATAGCATGTTGGCTGTGATTATATCATTTTATGATATATGCTTTGTAAAAATCAATATCTTGGACTCTCTCGAAACTTATTTTGATAAATTGAATTTCAATTTCAAATTTCTTAGAATAGACTGATTGATTGGTTTTTCTTATAGTTTGAAAGTCTGGACTTTCTGTCACAATTTTCAAAAATTCGTAAATAGTTTACAAAGCCAATCAAGATTTTTGGCTAAATTTCCAATCAACTTTGTAAAATGCAGTAAATAACCTTTCAAAAATCTATTCAACATTGAACTTTTTTTAAGCTCTTGTTTGAGTCAACCTTGAGTCAAAACGCATAGCTAGATGCCTAAAGTTAGTTTGGTTATATGTCTCACACCGCTGTCCTAAACTGTTTAATATTTCAAAATTTAATATTTGTTCATCCTTCTTTTGATATAAACTGAATTCATTTTGTTTGTGTAATGGTTTACAATTTTGTGTTCAAATTTTAAATGTTTTGCAAATCACATTCAAATTTGTGCTCATTCATAATTAAATACTTGACAAGAATGGACATAGAAAAAATGTTCCCGTAGGGTTTCTCATTGCACAGATGGTAAATAGGCCCTCACTGAGCAGATGTTGCCTAATTTGGCTCATTTTATTCATGCTATTCCTTCCGTTTACCTAAATATTTTTTTAAACTTTCTTTTCAGATAAAATAATGCTACTCTTGCTGTATTACTTTCTTCTCTTTGAACAGTGGTATAATATTTCAGTTGCAATTCCGCCGTAACATACTGCAAATAATTTTTGTTCTGTAAATCACCAGTATCACCAGTGTTCTCTAAATCACTAGTTTCACACTAATAATCTCAATTCGAGTGGTTCATGCTATGTTTTTTTTTCTTTCCTTCAAGATCATTTCCCATAAAGATCTCAATATTGATAAAGAAGAAAATGCTTATGAAATTTGTTTGTTTTGGATGAAGGTTGATGTTCCCTCAAGAATGCAGTATTTCACAAGGTTCATATTTATTTTTGATCTTATATTAATCTTATTTACAAACCTATAGTCAACAACTTGGGATATTTTTCAAATTATCATTACTGGTTTGATTTTGTGTGGTTTTTATTATTTTGTTTTGTATAAGGCTGGCTCAAACAAGCAGCATTGATGACAGGACCAAACAAGAGCGAAATATAATGTGTCCACCTAAGTATTGTATGTTATTCCTGCGTAAGTCATTAGTCTTACTGCAAATTGGTATTTCTGTGATATTTCCTCTAATTGGGATCACACTTCCTCAGACAATCATATTTTTGAATAATGAAGAACTAGGCTAAGGTGGAATATGCTTGACTGAAGAATAGTCATTTTTAATCTTGGTACAGCATCCTTGCATGATATGTATACATACCCACCAGCTCAAAAACATACCGGAAGAATGGGGTTACTAGTTAGCTTCGCATAACTTCAAGTGATTCAATTATTTTTTCGTTTGCTTCCTTTACCTGCGTATCATTACCAATTTGATTTCTAGGAATATGCTATTCCCCGAAGCTTATGGTTTCATAGGATATCATGTGATAGTTACATAGTAGTAACAAGATGCTCAAGATTTGCTGTCAGAAAACCATAGATATGTCTGAATTATCATAGTTTTATTCGTTATAATCAGGCCAATTTTTATTCATTATTCTAAACTGATTCATTGTATCAAATTTGAATATTTATTTTGTAGCAAATAAGGCAAATTTTCTGAGTAAACAGTAATTTTTACATTTCAATATTACTTTGAAGTAGATTTCACACATAAATTTGATGAGACCCTAAACAAGAATTGGAATCAATAAAACCAACATGATTTTGCATTTTTTAATTTTTCATTTCAGTGGCCTGAACTTTTCGCCGTTTATTGGCATGATTTTACAAAAGTAGTTTGCAAGTAATTACTCAGAAACCCAACAAAAATACCATTGTTCGCATTTCAACTTGTTGTGTAATAGGCACACGAAGGTTTTTTTTTGCTGTTTGAATAGATTAGTAGTATTTATTTAAAATTTATCTTCCAGGCTGATGGAGCGAATCAGATTTCCATTCATTCGAAGAATTTATATTTTGACAAAGATAGAAACGAACGTACTAATGAGAAATTTTTCACTGTGTCTGGATTTAATTAAAGAATCTCGAGATTTTCACAATTGCGATTTAGACAGACATGAAAAATATTCAATCAGAATGCAGCCTCGGCTGTCAACTGGTAATCTTTTAATAATAGTTTGCACGATCACTGGTTAGAAAATGCCTAGCCAAGTACTTCTCTATATATCCAACATAATGGATTTTATGAATTGAATAAAACTTTGGAGTGTTTGTTTGCCAATTTTGCCAATTTTTCAACAATGTAACTGGCATAAATTTGTTTCAATTTTTAGCAGTCTTTTTTATATGGTTTATTTACTTAAAGAATTTGGTATTTTCAAACATCAAGATACTATAACACATCTTATTCTATATAATAGACATTTATATGCGTTTCTTCGATCATCCGCTTGGGAAAAAATTTAAAGTTCTTTTGGATGAAACTTTTTTTTTGACATTGACCTTGACAAACTTTAAGGTATGAGAGCATGTTAGACAATATAACAAGGAAACATATGTAGTTTAATATACAACAATAAAAGTGTTGTTAACCACAAAATGACCATATATATATATATGATATATATACAGTATATAAATTTTACCTAGGGATTGCTGAAGTCCTGATTATCCTTGGTGGCTGTAACAATGACTGTGATGAACTGGTGAATGCAGAATGCTTGAATCCGCAAAACAACCATTGCAGAAGCAGATATCTTGCTGAAACTCCTGAAAATATGAGAGGAGGATATTCAGCTGTGGTGCTTGATAATGATTTATTTGTTACAGGTAGGGAATTCGATTAATGACATAATGGCAACTTGAATGCGAAATAGCGTTTATATAGGAATTGAAATGCACTAACTTCATTTAATATTATATTAGATGTTGGTCTCTTTCTTAAACCAAGTTTCAAACATCATAATCTATAATATAAATTTGGTGGTACTCTATACTCAATGCTATTAGAATGTTCGACGAAAATACTTGTAAAAAATGAATCAGAGAAACAACAATATTATTAGGAATGTAATACTCTACATACTCTTAACAATGAGGAAGCCTTGAAATGTAATATACCTTTCATATTTCGAGTACTATATTTTATTTTTTATTTGTGTCACTTGCAGGTGGTTCTGATGGTTTCCAAATGTTCAATACTGCATGGAGATATAAATCTCAGCTTAACGAATGGGTTGAGATATCACCCATGTTACAAGCAAGAGAATATCATGCCTCTGTATCAATGAAACGTTCTATCTATGTTGTAAGAAATTTTTCTCGAATATTGCTGCCTCTCTCAGTATTGTATGTCAAAATCTTTCAGTTTTAAAGTTTTGAAGCTTAATATTCAAAAGTCCAAATTAATAAATAGGAAAAATAAAAGATCATTACCGTAATAAAGGAGTGAAGAAACTGTAAAAGATTTTGTTGGGGCTATGTTTATTGGTCAGATATTTTTGATTAAGTGGTTTGCATGGTAAATATCTTTTGCGAAACTGGCATTTTGGGTCTTCTTTGATTTATTTACACACATTGCTGTACTTGTAACTTGATAGACCAACTTGAAGCAAAAATATTGAGTTGTTGTTTTTATGTGGCTGTTTGTAACTATCAATAACTAACTTGGACTGGTAAGTGGTAATAGTTGAAAACCATAGTTTACCAAACGATTGAGTTGTTTTATACATTTTCCCTACTGTACTTATGAATCCAATCTTAAAAACAATCGTTATTGCCATCAATTTCAGGTTAGTGTTGAAGGTTGTGAGCGTTATGATGAAGACACAGAAAGTTGGAATGCGATTTGTTCTATGTCATATCCTGTGAATAACTGTTCTGTTGCTGCTTGTTATGGAAAGATATACTGTATCGGATCGGGTGTTATTGATAATAAAATAACATTCCAGGTTTACAACCCCAAAATAGGTACGAACGTTTTGCACTAAAAGATGGGGGATAGGATCTATACAATATGTGAATTATTGGGTTGAAAATGTTTTTTGAAAACTTTAAATTTGAAGTCCTTATTAGGTAAATTTAGAGCCAATCAAACATGGACACTTCCTCGTCCATGCTGAAAATATAATATAATCCCTGTATGTCAATTGCTAAATCAATTTTCATGCATTGAATCAGGTATAATCTTTATGTACAGATGGTTGGAATTTATTAGATTGTGACATGTCTGTTGTTTGTCAGTCATCATTTGTACCTTCGCTGACGGCTTTATCTGGAAAATTATATTTCATACATGAAGATTCGAGATGTGTCATTGGTTATGACCCTGTCAAGTAAGGAAATTTTGTCTGATCATTGGTTTCTCATTTTTGATTCGCTATATATTTTTTTATCTCGTGTAATTGGACTAAAAATTAGAAACAATTACCGGTATTACTTATATATTCATATATACAAAATTGGTGTCAAGCAGAGGCCTAAAGCTTCAGTTTTATCCTCTAATTGAAATCTCAGGTTGGCATGAGTTGAAGTTTTGCTTTCACTTCTCAGTTTCTATTGGATTATTCTGAAATCACAAATAGTTTTTTTTCTGATATCTGTTCGGAACTATTTATTTTTTTGATACTATCATCAAAAAAAACTCTTTATGCGACACTTGCAATAAATTAAGAAAATATAATCAGAGAAACAACTACGTAGAAGGCAATTATTGTGAATAATCTTAAAACTAGCATTCAATTTAGTTTTTGTTTTTATTATCAAACATTGCATGCTACAAAATGTCCCAGGTTCATTTTATTTATAAAGTTGTTCACCATGAATCCAAGATGTACTTAACTATTACTCTGTGTGTCCCTTGGGAGGAAATATTGCACAACACCAACCTTGTTCTCTTTCAATCCACTCTCATATGAACTCAGATATTATGACATTAGTCAGTTCACATTTTGCGGCTGTATTATTTTTTTGTAACCTATATAACTGAATATTTATCCTGCTCTTCAGCCAAAAAGAACTTAACATTATTCAATACGGATATTGCGTTATTTAAATTAAACTAGATCATTTAAATATTTTTTTTGCCTTGTTTTTTTAGACATATATCGAAAATTTAAAGATAGTTGTATCATGTCAAAAAGAGCAATTGAATGATGTTCTGTATGGATACTGATATGCTTCAGATTACTTTGTTATAAAGTGAATATTATAAACTTATTTATCATCAGAAATAAATGGCTGGATCGTATTGCGCCTATGCTTCAACTACACTTGGGTGGGAGTGTGACTCAATATCAAGGAAAAATTGTTGCTTCTGGTGGATACGATGAGAGATTTGGGTTGACTGATACAGTTGAAATGTACGATCCTGATCAAAATGAGTGGAGTTATTTAACAAAATTGTCGAGGCCTATGTTCTGGCACAATTGTGTTAGTTTATTCAAGTAAGTGAATTTTTTTTTATGATAGAAATCTGGGCAATCGGAATAAAAGCGTTAGACTTTTTCTATTTCATACAATGAAAATAAAATTGTGATTCATTATGAAATAATGTTGGATAATTCTCAAATGTTAGGCTATTAGTATATTGAACATGTCTACATTAAAACTGTGTAATGATTCTTCCTATTGACCCTAGTTGTAACAGTGTTTTATTTGTGACAGTGTGTTCATTCTGTCATATTTAAAGTCATAAAAAACAACGATGTTAGGTGATATGTATTTTCCTAATGACATATATCAAATAGTTTGAATTCTATATTAAATGTATTATGGCATATGCACTATGTCATTCCAGGAATGTGAAATATATGGAGGCATTCGAAATCGGTGATATCCAGTATAGTAATTATATAATATAAAATATTTCCATTTGATAAATCATTATTATGACTTGAATATCAATCAAATCGATGTTTGTCTCAATTATTTAGTTTCACCTAATTCATTTCACAAGGATTTACAATGATTTGTGCAATTTTCTGTAGTAAAAGTGAATGCATTTCAAATATATTCAATATTCCATGTTCAAAAATTATTTGGAATAAGAAATTTTTTTAGTCACATTTGTCACCTTCATCTTTATATAAAGCAATCACAATCTCAATCTCTTCAATCATCACTTCTATTTTTAGATACGTATCTGCACCGAGAGGTGATTACTTTTTCGCTTCTGCGACTTTGCATGACTTTTCTGAAGAGTTATCATCGAGTGATGTAAATACAACTTTTGCATGACTTTTCTGAAGAGTTATCATCGAGTGATGTAAATACAACTCGTCTCTAAGTTTGTTCCGTTTGATATACAGAGAGTGAGAATGTAAAATATTTCAGGTGGCGTCTGACTTGACAAACCACTTTAAACTGTCATTGGTGATAAAAGATCGAAATAGATATCCAAAATTTTGATTGAAACAATATCCATGATTAATCTAATATTTAGGCAAGTTTTGTAAACTATATTTTATTATATAATTAGCAAAAGTGCGAAATATTATTGATTGAATCCTGTACAACTACAAATTGGATCCTTCAACTGTTGTTAGATTATTGATGTTTGAGAACTTAACACAAATCAATCATTTTTCAGAAAGTTTTTCATAACAATTCAGGCAACTAAAGTTAATAATTATTATCATCAGAAATTTACCTTCAATATGTGTAATTTATAAGGTGATGTCAGGCATTTTCTGCTATTTCTTGTTCCTGCCATGTAATATCTATCTTATTCTGTTTTTAAAACTCAAGGCAATTGCTGGCTCCTAATTGATCATTTTTTTTCAGATTTCCATCCAATTATTACCTGACATTGACAATATTTATATAATATAATTAAAAGTTATGCAGTGAAGCAATTGACACATTTCGGAAATTACAAAAAATGTATCGCTAAAAATGTAATGTTAAATATATGGAAAATTTCAGTAAATTTGATGTTTTTTTGTTGGTAGTTTATATACTTTTTAAAGTTTACATTGTTTTTATATTTTAGTAGCCTCTTTTATTGCAAAAATTATATAATAGAGGCAGCTTATTAACATATAGTTTATCAGCATAGTTTCCATTAGAAAACCCATACTTTTTTGTCCATGAATGGCGATTCGGTAAAAGTAACAATAATTAATAGTTTACAAGTATTCTTTACTTACCTTATTACAACTATTTCAATGAAACATTTTTGTGTATTATTCATGTATTTTATTTTCCACTTCACATTTCTACCATTCATTTATTATGTTCTCAATTTACTCTTGACTTGAGTACTATTATGCATCCAATGGCCACTAACATTATTTTATAATACTGATGGCGAAAAATTGAATTTATTCTATTATTAGGCCCATTGGTAGGAGCCAGTGTTCACTCTTAAGGAAATTATGATGGTATGGGTGATTATGAACATTATATTAGACTTAAGATTGAAAGTAGTGAGTTCTAATCAAAGCAAATCTTGACTGAATCCATCTCAGACTCTCAATTGACTATGTATAGATCCTGGTTATGAGCATTTCAGTATTTATAGGGTTCAATACTGTCTAAATTGTCCGATTTGAAATTGAATCGCAAATCAACTTTTGTTTGAATATTATAATGCGATAGAAGGTTTAAAAACATATTCTTTATGTAACTGAATGTGTTGAAAAGTTATGGATATAGGAGCATTGAACATCAAAAGATACTTTTGGATTTCATTATTTGATTTTAATTCTCTTTTTACCTGAACCATTGCCTGTATCTTCTTTACTTTTTGAAAATAGCTGTGATTCCAAACGTTACCTCGGTTATTTCCTAAATTTTATTGCAATTGATATTAAACTTAACTTAAATTAATTGTTTTTGTTTCAAAATAATCAAGGTTGACTTCGTTTATTTATATGAATATGAAATGTGCTTTTAAAGTATTTAATGAATATATTTAGGTGTAAAATTTGTGAACAAAATACTAATCTTTAATTTTGAATAACACAATTGGACTCCATTCTGAACATGGAATTATTTTTGTTAAAACTATACAACCTCTTGGATGCATATGTAAGAATAATATCTTGTCTTACAATTTGGACGTTTCATCATAGATAAGCATTTCTTAATCTATTTCTTATTTACTTTCATATTTAAAAATTTTACATCATCATTTGAAACTTGTAGCACAATTGTCGTTCAATATTGTAGCTTAGGTGCTTTTACAGAATTTCAAGTTTCGTCATTCCCATGAATTTCAAATCAAGTGGCATATGTGTATGAGTGTTGGATAGTAGTGTTCGAAAGAATTAGGTGTGCAAACATTTTTAAGTGCACATGTCTTTGATATGTGGTTTGTCACTTTGCTATACCTTGATTTATTTTATCATGTTTCGAAGTTTTGAGCATGCCTATATAAATGTCACATATCATTCATTTGGCCTTTGCTTCTGTCCGAGTTTCAGGAAAAGTTTCGTAACATAATGTTCTATCTACAAACACCAGTTTTCTAGCGTATGAAACTTGGATTTTTTGATGGAATGGACGATGTTTCACAGAATTCTGGAAAATCTGCCTGACAAGGTCATTTATCGCCTTGTTATGATTGACTTCGCTGCTGGACGGCCAATTGACACATAAATTAAACTCATTCTTCATATTTCCTTTATTTCATATATTGTTGTATTATATTCTTGTTTTGAATTTGTTAGTGACTAAAATAGTCAAGCCTGTATATATTTCTGTTGTTAAAATAAATATTGTACTAGTAGTGTCTGTCAGGAACATTTCGTCACATGATAGATTGTATGTCGAAAAAAAATTGAATTTTTACCAGCCAATCACTTGAACTGTTGGGCATCTGATTCTTATGGATAGGGTAAGAGTGGTTTAATTTTAGACTTCCTAATCGACACAAAGGCAGTGCATAGAATGATATGGACAAAGGCAAAAGATTGTCCACAAGCCTGGATTCTAATATTAAAATAAACTTCTGATCTGTCCCCAGTGTTTTGCACGCTCTTCATTTTCTACTTGATTTCTCGCGCAGAGGAATGCAATGCAAAGGAAATTTTCTGGTTAAATGGAAAAAATTTAGTTGCATCCCACATAAATTACATTCGATGTTAAAGAAGTAGTGTAATTCACGGTAAAAAATTACCTGAAAGTGGTTGTGCTGCGTGTGGGAACACGCTTGTCATTGCACAGATGATTTTGCACGATGGCTCAGTTTTTGTACATAGGGTAATTAATCATTTCAAACTGTATATACGAGACTGACATGCCTCTGTCAAACCTCACCTGCGTGGCGTATCGTGCAAAGAGCGTTCGCATTTTTTTTTTAAATGTTCCTCCGATTGGGTCTTCTCTCAATAGAGCAATTGTACTCAACCTTTTCTACCTTCGTGGCCCACTTTTATGGCGCAGAAAAATCGGTGGCCCATTAACTTGCTCGTGTAAGGGAGAACTACAAAAAAAATTATTTTGCAAAGATGCACACATCCACTTCAATAATTAAAAAGAGAATTGCCACTCAGTAGCAAAAACAACATCATCTTTCATTGCTACTACAATCGAGGTTTAACTAACTTATCAATTACTCCAGCAATTTTTAATAAGTTCGTGTGTGGGCCACCTGTAAATGTTTTTGTGGGACATTCCTGGCAATGAGTGTGGCTGTGATTCGACTGCTGCGTTCATATCTCCTTAGATATAAACTGACTATTTACAATGAATCGATTTAGTTCATGTGATGCGATAATCTTTACGTACTTATGGAGCTGCTTTGACTTTGCCAATCCATATTTGAAGGCGGCGGACATCAGTATTTCTTTGAGAGCAAATCTATAAAACGAATTTTTGCGATGAAGTATTTTATTTCCTTAATAAGCGCGCCAGCGGCTCACGCGAAAAGGAATTGTATATATTAAAAAAAAACTGGTTTTGAAGACTTGCATCACTAATCAACAATAAATCTTTCAGGGGCCAACTACCCGACAAAGTTCGAAAGCAACGCCATTGCTAAAAGCAACAATAGTAAATTGACTGGTTTCTTAATGATAGTTCCGCAGGTGGGGCAGTTCGTTGTGCTTGTATCCTCATCATCTTCACCATCATTACAATTGCCTTGAATTGAGGGATTGGACGTCATTCCCCCACATGATTCACTAAAGTCGTAAATACCGTTATCCTGAATTGAATATTAGATCGTTTTGAATATTTAATAGGTTAGCAACAAATAGTATTTTCATGTGAAATAAGATGCCGAACAACAGCTTTGAAGCATGCTGCTACAGATGACATAATTCAAGGCGGGGTGAGTAGAAAATTGCTATATTGGAGAATCTTATGGAAAGTTTTGTATATTATTATGTGCAAGGGCATTGAAATTAGAGGGCAAAAAAACGAATGTTTTAAAATAGGAAGGCAAATCAATATTCTTACCCGCAGCTTCTTATTCCGCTCATTTTTATTTCGCACAATTTCAACTTCAAAGCACGTGCTGTATAGATCCTCTGGACTGTTGAATGCCCACACCCATATGAACGTGTAACGACCTGTCATAATGAAAAGCGCTCAGTGTACGTAAATAAGTTCTGAAACATCGAATTTGCCACTTAGTTTGTGACATGTAAGCAATACGATTTAATTTTATTATGTTATTTTGTAGAGATTAGTTTACTTCTTAGTCTACAATCCCATAAAGCAGTTTATATATAATATTTTTAACTGAACATATATTTTTGGGGGCAAAAAATACAACTTATTGTTTGTGCGGCGTTAAGCTGTTTTTGGTTAAGCTGGTACCGGTACTATATATCTGAAAGTAGTAGATCGAAAGTAAAAAATGTAAGTGAATCTTATTTTTTTATGTGTTATGTGCCTGGGTTACTGAGTGTAGCAAAATATAATTGTGTATTAATTAAGACAATTTTCACACTCATATGGACATATTTTATTCGCTTCATTCTCCAGGACCTATTCTGCTTGAAACGTTTTATGACATGTCATTTAATTAATTCTTACCTGGGCTAAGGCTGGGAACGTTAAAACTATAGGTCCCTAGCGCCGAGTCCGTGGTTGCAACAGCCTTGTCGCAGAATGCCGGGGCATTTTGAAATCCTGGCTTTGGATATTCGCTTGGGTTTGTATTTTGTTGTCCGAATGACGACACCCCAAGATTAAAAACCAGATTTCTTTTAAATTCACTAAATGGAGGATCATCATCGCTATTCCTGGATCCGCGATAGATATAATTTCCATTGTCTGGTATGTAGATATTAGTGCATGTGTCAGCTCCGTGATTCTGTTAAATTCGCAAAAATTTTTGTTTATCCGCTCCATATTGTTTCCTAAAAATGGCGGAACAAGTTGTGGACCTGAACTTAGTATATAGGGAATAATAATTAGCCTACGTAGATTGCGTCTCATGATTATCCAGCCCCGCTTATTCGTGTCAGTTAATTCTTTCTACAAGCACACACACATATATATTGCAAATGAATGTATATAAAAAGAATTATCTACAGAAACAAGAAGGAGTTTCCAGAGACAGATCTGCCCAGCAATCCCAAAGGCGAATGAACCCAAATTCATGACTCTCTACAGAACTTCTCAGGCCTGTAACGTGGCATTTATCATTAAAGCATAGTTACATACCTACTAAGAAGAGACGCGGAGGTGCGCTACTAGGATTTTGCAAGTCATGATCCTTACTATACTAGTGAACATATAGGCCTATATATATATATATTATATTAACATTGAATATTAGCGAAGAAACTCACTTTCATAGGATGTGCTAAAACTACTTGTTGTCCGGGATAATATACCGCCATTGGATGACCTGCATCATAATTTGCATCATCGTTTCTTGAAGCTTGACAAGGATTGCTCTCGGACGGCTTCTTGTCAAATCCTAAAGCAATAATATTCACAATTGATCAGGGTATATTTTCTCTAGGGAGGGTGGAGCGGAATTATTCTCATGTTTCAGGCAGGTCCTTGGACTTGTGGTGTGATATCCAAGGTATCCTATTTTTTAATTTTCGTTCAATATAGGCTAGGCTATTCTTTTTGAACCTGCGGGAAAATCTCAATTGTAAAACACCGACAACGAATAAATGTATCCAAAGTTTGTCGAAACGCACTAGTTAAACCAAGATGAAACTAAAGTTTCTAGTATACTCCACCTGTATCTTGTGCAAAGACTTTCGTTTTTAGAAGATTCTTATTCGCAGCTCTAGGCCATCCCCGGCATTTTTCAACATCGTACATGTAATCGTTCTTTTTTGTGTAATCCGTACATGTTATCCAGCTATGTGATCGAACTTGCATGCAAAGTAGAGCTACAATACCCAACTGAACTGATCTTTCCATAGTAGGATAGTATGTAAATGTTTATATATATATTCGTCTGGATAGTGAAGGATATTTTTTTTACTAAGATAATGACTGGTTGTCTATCGTTGCTCATAAACTGCGCAACGATAAACTGAACTGAGTTTGTTACCCAACAAAATTGAAACGTGCATTCTGAGCATTTACTGAGGTTAAATCTAGCCGGGATATTGGTTGCTAGGGCTGAACCCAACGGTCGCGCTTTTGTATTGTCTAATTTCCAGTGCTATTTTGACCAGCTAGTACTAATCACTGAGCAATTGAAAGCTTTCAAATATTAAGTACGCAATACGTACGTTTGCTCTCAAGTGAAATATACATTATTTTACTCACTTCAAACTTGCGTGAGAGCAATCCGTAAAAGTAATTGTGGATGTTCATAATATAGGTATAAAGCTCGACAGTAATTACTGATGTCAACCTTGTAATATGTGCAATGACCGTAAATCTGAAAGCCAATAATACATTTTGAGAATATGACAAAGTTGTATCACAAAGGATGATGTCGTATGCGATAAGTAGCGTGGAAAAAATAAGATCAGGTCAAAGCGAAATGCACATGCGAAAAGCGTGCAGTAACTAGTAGTATATAGTAGAATTTTTAAGTTCTGGTCATTTACAAGGTAATTAGCCCAAGTGTAGACAAATATATGCTAACTGACTATGATGACTGATGCCACTTTCGTATGAGATCTCACTTGCATAACGTGATCGCAATCGCACACCGAACTTTGGTATTAAATGCTGCATATTCCAGATCACATTTTCTTTCATCCTGTTTTTAACTCATAACGTATTAATATATTATATTCATCATTTCACATGTCGCTGTCCGCTATTACTCGAGCTTGTTTAATGGGAAAATATATATCATTTTAGTTAGTCATGTGCATTCCCATTTGAGTTTTTAAGTTGAATAAAAATTTCAATAGAAAAAAAAATAGCAGTAAAAAGATGTCGGTTAGGTTACAAACAAGCATGAATATATGACGGTTTAAACTTTCAGGGCGCACTCCTACGCATCGTCTATGGTCCTGGCTTGTGCAATGTCTCCTGACACGAGAAAAAATGACGTCAGACACGTGATTTCTCAGACGTGATGACCTGAGTGTATCACTGCTATAGTCACATGGTAGGTTTGTGGCATTTCGCCAATTGCCTTAAGCGGTATTAATTAAGCAAATGAACTGATGGAAATTTTTATTATAAATATATGTATGCAGACTGTCGAATCTGAAACTGCATATATTTTCAGCAATTTTCTCTTTGTGATTTATAACAAAATTTAATTTCCATTCTCATTTTGTTACATTTTTTTTTGTTATTTGTACTTGCTAAATTCTTATGTTAGTTATGTACATAATATGTACTTTTTAAAATTACGCTATAATCATTTTTTATAAGCGAAACCTTACGTCACTTACGCCTTACGTCATTGCCTTATGTTCTGACAAACGTCTATAGTTAGTTATCCCAAACTGTTTTATTTTAAATTTTGTGTGTTACCTCGATAAAAAGTTTCATTGAACTAGAATTGGCGATTTTATACCATGACTGCCATGGTTGTAAATTTGACGACAATAACATTATAGGTAGGTCTCCACAGTAGGGATGGGACGAGTCCGGATTCGAGTCGAATCCACGAATTGTTTGGACTCGGATTCAATTTCGAGTCCACGTCATTTTCGCCGAGTTCTAATCATTTCCATTTTTACTAATTGACGCCTACGATACGTACTTTTACCTCTATAAAGATCCATACATACCATATCTGATTGGGAATTTCGATGTGATAATAAAACATTATCCTTTTTTGTGTATATATGAACAAAATAGTATACGTTGGCGCAATGTATTTGAGTTTCCGGTTCGCGTGAAAATAAAAACATGCTCTACCGCAAGTAAGTATCCGCTCATCTACGTCATAAAAACCATTGCAAATCAAATTTTTATAACACAAATATAAAGCGGATCAACCCAGAGGGTCATTTATTCAATAGCTATTTTGAATCGAGTTTATTACGTGCAATTTTCCTTCTGAAAATGGAAGTAAGGAGAGGTTTGCCAAAAGCTACAAAATTGTACTGGGAGAAAAAATTAATCACAAACTTCAAGCGATTGAACTTTAGAATGAGTGATTATTTTGGAAGCTTTACTTGAACTACTAAGGTGCAAGTTGTATTGCAATTGGTATCTTTATCTTTCGCGCAAGCGACATAATAAGTCTATGGCTGAAACCGTCTACTTTGACTATGATGCGTTTCTGTGATTGTGGACTCTACATCCACAGGAACGTAAATCCTGGTCAAAATTGTGGTTTTTCATATCGACTTCAAAATTTCGTTTCGTTTGTTGGCTTTAGACAGTCACGTAACGGCGGTATCACAACACCATCTGAGCTAAATATCCGCTCAGAACGAAAGCCGGTCGACATTCGCGATTGGATTGTAATAAAAAAACAATAGGAAAAATATATTCCTAAAATGGTTCAATAGCTGCCTACGGCACTGTTTGGCAATAGCGCAAACTGTTGGAACGCAGTCGTGTTTTCCGACTTTTTTATTATGACGTCCGGATTCGGAAGATTCTATTCGATTTCATTACCTATTACTCGATCGGATTCGTCCAATCCCTGTAAAACCGGACTCGTCCCATCCCTACTTCACAGTCATGTAAACCGCGAACCCATGCTTATTATTCGACATTGCTCAAATGAAACAACCTCCACTAGATATAGCAATCGGAGTTTTTCGATGGTATTTGACTGCTTATGTGAGTCAAATTCGATTCTCTTCATCATAAATAAAGTAATTGTAACAGATTGTAACAGACATTTCAATAGTGATTGGCCAAACACAAATCATATTCTCGAAGTTTATTAAAGTAGCATTTTTCCTTTATAATTATATACTTTAAATAATGCTTCTAGTTATAATTTCCAAGGTAGGTACAAACAATACTGAAACGAATTAAATTTGAAGGTTATAAGTTGTAAAGCATGCTATTTAAATGCCGCTTCCAATCATGATCAGGATATAACGTTTACGGTGATAGCAAAGGGGGTCATTTTACCCCGTTTGAGAACACAAGTCGGATTTAAAATCACCATTTCAGATTACTTTATTATCTACGTTTGGTAAGTGCTGTAGGCCACATCGGCCTGATGGACCTACTGTAACTCTGCAATCAGGCTGATGACTTGAATCATGGGAAAATGCAAATTTTACAGTGTAGCAGACTCAGTTACATAGACAAAATAAATGAACAAAAATCGAAGCGAATAATAATATCCAATGAAGTTGCACTGCTTCAGCCCCTCCGCCACCATCAATTTCATTGTTCGTTCCTGCCGTATTATGTCCGACTGCCATGTTACAAACACCACGAATCTCAGGATTAGAAGTCATTCCCCCACAGGGTTCCGTGAAGTTTTTAAAACCGTTGTTCTAAAATAGATTATTTAGATAAAAATAATAGTTAATGGCTATGCATAAATGGTGCAAATTACCTTTAATTTAGACTTTAATTTTATAAGTTATATCAAATATTCAGTAGTCTTTGATTGCAGAATGACATTAACTGCGGAATAACAAATAACGTGCGTGTGTACGTGAGGCGATAACTTCAACTCTTTGGAACAAGTTGTAGTTACTGTTGTTTGGGTCTCATTAGTATACCTTGTGGTCTCCCCCAAGTGCAGGAATCTATGCTAATGTTAATGAAGGACGACATACCAATAGTTTTCTATCTCTCTCTATCTGATCTCTGACTATCTGAACTTCGTAACATGTTGTAAAAAGATCTCCCATGTTGTTGAAAGCCCATAACCACATGAAGGTGTAACGACCTAGATGAAAAAGAAATTTTGTTTTGCGATTATGCTCATGCATGTTGAGGTGTAGCACTTTTGAAAAATGTTTGCTTGGCTTGTGTTACGCAATACCTACAAGCACAACAATAACTTCGAGCTGTCTCTACATTTTCGTTGTCAAACGATTAAGCAACAAAATAAAACATTCATGCACTACTTTTAAATATTTTGCGAAGTCCAATATTGGGATTTTGAAACGTCCAAGTCATAATTATATGGTTAATTATAGGGTCATATTTGCTTATTTTTGACTTTATAGTATATAAAGTTACTGAGCACTGAATTTGTAATACTAAAACGGGGGAAGTCGCAACGTTCACATTTGACTGAATAAATACAGGTTTTGCATTGAACAAAATAAAACAGCAAAAATTTGCGTAAAATTTCAGTACTCCCGTGACGTAGAGAAAATTTGAAAAACAAAATAAAAGTAATAGCCTTCCGGCGGCTACTTCCATATTTAAAATAAATTGGTCTTTTAGATAAAGAGGGAAATCTTACAAACATTGTCTATCATAAGAATACATTGATCAAGCACGAGCATCGGCAACACTGATTATAATAATGGAAAATGAATCTTTTGTGTCATGTCTTATCCAACACTTTTTCAATATTTGTACTTTGTCAACTGCTTATTAAAATTCACAAAAATGCAAATTCACATTGGCCAATCGATAGTCCAAAACATACATGCGCAAAATTTGTAGCATACTGGATGTGGCACACCTTCAAACAGCATTTTACTACCGTCCTGTTTTGTCTACTCCTGGCGTGCACATCACCAATTTAAGTTATTACAGTTCGGAACGTCTAGGTATCTATTATTTCAAATGAGCGAGTGACCCTGATGGAGTACAGCAAAAATATGCAGCCATTAAGCCTCCCGTTACCTGGACTCAAATTCAAGGGTACATTGAAACTATATGTTCCCAAAGATTTGTCTTGATTCAAACAGAAGGCGGGTGCATTTTGAAATCCAGGTTTAGGGTAAGATTTAGAAAGTATCTCATCGTTTAAAGGCGAAGCGGAAAGATCAAAAACTAAGTTCTGCATGAATTGCGAAAGGGTTGAGTCGGCTCGGGCGTTTCGGTCGCTTCTGTATATCCAGTTCCCCGTATCTGGAATGTATGGATTTGTACAATCCGCATCGGCCCCATGCTCCTGGAAAAAAATACAAAATAAATATATATATTCATAATACTTTTTTTTAAATAATTTGGAAATATCGCCAGTCAGCTAGGTGAAAATCTCCTCGATCCTTCTTGGCCTAACTGGATGGAGCTGGTTCGTGAAACTGTATCCAATATTGAATATTTACAAGGTTTTTTGTAATATGACTGGACTTCCCGGGCCACGTTGTTTTCCACAGAATTTTGTTATTTGAAAACATTGCACTATAATGCGTTTCACTAGTGCGATTACTAGTGTGGCGTACTGGCAGTCTATGAAATAATTATCCAAGTTCAGAATATCTTCCAATATGGTCTAATGTCAAGTTTCTTCTCAATATTCACTTCAATTTATACTATTTTGTTCTATTTATTAATTATCAATCCAAGCAACGATTAATACAACCAAACGCTCCGATGAAATGGAAAGCACACAACAAAAACAACAATACCAGGCAGTAAAATGTAAGAAAACAATATACACAATAAAACACTGATGGCCCCTGAAATCGAAGACACCCTCAACAGAAGCCACATGACACCAAACTAGCTACTTACAATTTGCCAAATAGGCTGAAAATAACTTATGACAGGCATCTTAAAAGACTTTAAACAATTCTATAAGTTCACAACATTTGAACAGTACTGATGAAAGCTAATTCTATGACAACAACCAAAAATACAACACTAAATGAACTGCAATGGCACTGCACGCAAACAGCAACATGGTCCCAACCCAACATCAGCTCATTGTCTAGCACAAAAACATCCAACCAATCCCAATCCAACGGTCACAAAACCACAAACAAACATTCCCGATAACCCACCGGAGACCAGAGGCACTCCCACAGACACAAAACGCCAAAACCCAAACGAAAACAACCACATTCAGACAACTGCATCCTGCCAACCCACAGCACACGCCAACCGGCCACACACAAAAGACAGACCGACAGCGTCACTGCGCCTCCAATACCAAATATGGAAACAATATCACATGACATCATTTAACAGATAAAACAAGGGTCGTCAGTTCGTCACACTAACATTATGCATCTCTTGTTGGACACGTAGCGGACATATGAATCGTTTTGCTATTATGTTGTTGTTGTTCTTGGTATTTTTCTTCTTATCGTTATGAAAAAAATCGATTTTCTCTTTAACTACTGGACCAATTGCTTTGAAAATTTTCAGTGGTTGAAGATTTTTTTTTGCTACAAGGGTATTGCTTCCATTTATTTCAAATATTCCTGTGAGCTCTATGGGATTCTTTTTTTGTGTGTGCTATGACGCCACCGAAATGTGTGCACCTTGTAGCGGTTCCGCAAACGTGCTCATCGAACGCCGGCGGATCTCGTGTTTAGTGAAAGTGGGAATTTTTTAATGGGGAACAGTAGACTGTGAAATCTTATCTGGTAATACAGAAGTGACTCGGATCACTTCGTATTTCAATTCACGTCAAACTCAATTTTGAACAATGGATCATTGTCACAGTGAGTTCACAGTGAGACTAGTGAGTTACCGCCTATGATTATCGAGGAATTGCTGACAACATATTTCGTTTGCCCCCGTGTCCACATATTTAATCATAGCGCTCTTATTTTACTAACCTTCATTGGATGCGCCAGTACAACCTGCTGACCAGGATAATAAACTGCCATTGGATATTCGAGATCATAATGTGCGTGATCATTTCTTCGAACCCTGCAAGCCTGATCTTCCGTTGGCTGGTGTGAATATCCTGTTGAAATTTAGCGATGCTGAGTGTTTATTGTTTTTCAAAAATAAGAATAGGGACAAAAAGAGAGATATTTTTATGCTTGGTGCAGAAATATGATCCTGTGTAGGAAAAATCCTGTATAGAAATATTTTGTTCATAATGCCAAATGATGCCATTACGATTTTTATGCCAAATCGCTAGCCAGACCAACTAAAAGTAAAACGATCACTCATAGAAGCATCGTGAGCAAACAAATGTGCTATAAAAGCTATATATATAGGTTATTCTTGTGTCAGAGATGGCATATATTATAGTATATTATATATATATATTGAATCCTAGAACCATTTTTATCAACATAGTCAAAAACAATACATGGAAGGACATTTATAAAGTTGTTTGGTTTTAGCTGAGAAATCTCTGCAATGTATCAGGGAGTTATGATAATCACATACAATTTGCAATCTATGGAGAATGGGATGACAATATTTGGTGCTCATGTTAGGAAAGTATGTTGTAGCCTTGGATTCGCAGTATAAAAACATTGTTCTTTGATGAGAAATGTAATAGCGATCGAATCGGACAGTTGTAAATTCAGGATACGCCTGTATATTTTTATTGCCTCCTATTTCCAGCAGTTTACTTTTGAATAGTAGTGACAAAACATACGTGTATTTGCATTGTTTTATCAAAACCCAATTGTATCTCGAATTCTATTATTTATTACTTGTGATCGCACTATGAATAAAAATCCTAATTAGCAGATATTTAGGACCATATTCGTAACTTTCAGAGATATTGATTCAAAAATTGATTTTTACCTGTTTCTGATCCGAACTCTTTATTTTTTGGCAAGAATCGATTTGCTGCTCTTGGATAACCCCTGCATTTGTTTGGATTATAAAAAAGTCCATTCTTTTCTATGTAATCGGTACATACTACCCAGCTATGGCATCGAACGTGGTGTAACAGGATAAGTTCGAAAAGCAATATAGCGAGTAACACAACTCCAAAATTTCTTGTACTCATCATTGAGTTTTTATATTACATATTGTTTAACTGAAGCGATTGTGAATTAGTTCAGTAAATTGGTGAATTTGCATAGATATTCACACAAAGTTTTATCATCTGGTTTCTTGGCTATACGACAAATTTTAGGTGAAGAAATGCTATTCATTTATGCTAACCTCACACACATTTTGCTCGCTTTATCGATATTCGTTCTTGTCATTGATTGAACTAACAGCATCCTGCTGATCTATATTAGAACATTTGCCTTTTGTTTTAAAATACTTTACGTTACTTTTTCATATTGTCGCAATAACTCTACAGTTTTATGATAGAATATTATTAGCACTGCATTATTGACTCCATATAGTTTCTTTTGTCATTAACGTAAAGGTATACACTGTAAGCCAGAAGGCAAGAGGAATTACATTAAATGGCATTCAGCCTCGGGCAAATTAATGGCATAGCTCATAATACTTATTTAATATAGATTTGTTAGCCACGATCAATGTTACCAAGGCAGTAAATGTCCTGTTTTCTCAATATTGTTGGGTAATATGATTTCCTGAATATGGATTTATATATGATATGCTTCATGGCTAGGCGATATCTTAATGAATAATAATAAATTATGAAAACAGACGGGGTGCGATAGATTAAACATAAAACTTGTGGTAAACTAAGTGAAAACAAAGACAAATCTGGTGATAGATTTTCAATGAAGGTGCTCAGCAGACATACTTTGACAATTACCGTAAAAACCTAGTGCACTATCATTCCTGTTTTAATAAACTCGTATATATAGTTCTTTAGCGAAACTGATGTACAATACATGAACGATTTTTTACTAATATTCTTCCATTGTCGCATACATATTTTGCCATTTAGACTACGTAGAACCTTAGTATGCAGCACGGTCTATCTAAAAAGGGTCGTCCAACCCGTGGCCCTCGGGCCACATGTGGTCTGCCGAAGGTTTTCGAGTGGCCCGCGCGGTATTATTCGAATCCCAATGCCTTTCACAAATCTGGGCCATTATTAAAACCTCTAATAAAAAATTAAAAAAAAACGCGCGAGAAGCACCACACAGCTATCGAAAGCTTATTTATGTCTCTTTGTGAGCGTTGTTGCTGGAAAGAGATGTTTGAATTTATTTTTATCGTCTGGCATGGATTTCAATTTGTTTTTCTGTCTTTTTTCTGTGAAGCTAGAAGTGGCAGTTTTTATGACTTCAATATTTGACAGCACTTAGGCTACATGTACAAGCAAGTTTTTTTTTGCGGATGAACCTTGTTGAATCCCCTGTGAGATCACTAACTTCTGACAGTCATATGAAAAACTCGCTATGCATTGCTACATTGTCCATCGCACCGAATATTGACAAACTTATTGGATAAAAGCGGTGTCATACTTGACATTAAAATATGTATGTGTAATGAAAACTTTTGACTTAACTGTATCTTCGTAATTTCATTGTTTTCGTAATTTTGGTGTGAAGGTTTTGTTTGTCTTTTCATTAATCTGTAGCCGGTGTAGTGGAACATAACAATCATGCCAAGTGGCCCGCGCAATCATTCGGAAACTAAATGCAGCCCTTTGGCCAAAAAGGTCGGACAACCCTGATCTAAACGGTTGTAACACAGAAGTGAACTGAGAAATAAAAACTATTTATTTTGTTAACAAGAAAACACGCGTTTAAAGTGATACAAAGTCAAAACCTTTCTGCTATAAACTTTGTTATCAAAGTCAGTTTTCACGAAACATGAATATATATATATATATACAAATTTAAAAAGTATAAACGCCTTTGGTATAATATTTCATTTTATGGCGTACTTAATCCACAATTCTTCTTCTCTGACCAGCTCTGCTTTTAGCTTATACTTCTTGATATTGCAAACTTTAACATATTTCAGCTTTGTTGATGTTGATTTCGTCCTGTATAAGACTGTAGACAATTCTCCCACTTTGTTGCTCTTTGGCTTCCGTGATTTTTTGTAATGACAACGCGAGCATTGGAGAACTATACGATAAAGAATTAAGATTTAATCAAACGTGTAGGTGACAACAGTCTACCAAAATATATGGAAGTGAGTATGGTGCTGCGTAACAATAGCGTGGATTCAGAAAAGGGGTTCCATGGCACAATGAAACAATATTTTACAAATGTTTCTGAAATATGTACTATCCTGTTATTTCCCCACAACTCATTTTATGATCTATTTTCTCTAATCGTGTTCATCTTAGAATAGTGGTGTTGAAAATTAGTGGTGTTGCAATAACATAAAAGTAACCCAAAAGATTAAGAAATATACAAAACTTCATTCACTATTCATCAGCCATCTGGGCAATTCCAACTGACGGTGATATATCTTTTTTTTCTACCGGGTCCAGGTGTCGGCAGTACTACCTTCCCTCTCACTTTCCCTGTTTGTACTTCAATAGGAATTTGTGGAGGTAAAGTGATGCTGTTTAGGTTTTTCAAATCTATGAATGTACATATATTAAGACACAAGTCGGATGTCGCTTATTCATAAAGTTAGCCCTCCTGACTCCGAACTAGACGAAAACATTTCAACAACATTAAATATTGGAAGTGGGCCTAACACCCCTTCATGAGACTCGAATTTGGATTTACAAACACGAGGGAGGAAGGAATCATTAAGCTAATGCGAGGTTGGCGGGCCGCAAAAACTTTTGAGAAAATCTCGCGGGCCGCAGTCGGAGTAAACCAAAAGTGATTAAAGATCGCTAGTTTACTTACGTTACATATATTTAAGGATATTAATTTATCGTTCTAATCAGTTTTTCAATGAAGATATATAAAGCCTTCAGTTCTTTTAAAATTGCTTCCCGAGAAATACCGTGATATTTTCGGTATCTTTTCTCGTGGTTGGTTTTGTAATGCCGCTTCAAATTATATTCTTTGTGACAGATATTGATTGAAAGCACGCCAGACACTGATTTATCACTGTCATGGGCAAGGAAATACGTTTCCTCACAGTTTATCTCGGTCAACTTTTTTTACACTCATTGTATGATGAATTGTTATATTGGACTAATTTTATTGTAGCGTGAGGAAGGCCTGATGCTATCATCAAAAATCAACCGTCTAAGTTTAGACTCTATACCCAGCTAGAAAATCTGGATCGTTCGGCGCTAAGTTAGCTCTGCGGTTAGTCACTGCTGTCATATGGCCAACGCTTGAAACGTGTTTTTACAAAATTGAAGGGACAAAACGTCTCTACAAATGTAGAGTTACTTGACGCGAGCTTAAGATACGAAGTTTTATTGAAAATCGCAACCCATCTAATCAGCTTGGTCGTGTCTGACAAGACAAATCGTTCCTCTTGTACCGATCACAGGACATTATTCCCATCTTAACGTTTATAGATACAACATTGAAATTCCGTGATTTTCCCAAACATGAATCCCGACATCGGGATTAAAAAAGGGCTATTCCCAGTGGGAATACTTTAAAAATAACTCAAAAATGTTCTACAAATATCGCCAATGGATTAGTGCACTATAAAATTGTTTGCGGGTCGCACGGAATGTGTCGGCGGGCCGAATGCGGCCCGCGGTTTGGACCACCTTGAGCTAACAAATTGCGTAGGAGGATATTCGATATTAAGGTAAAAGTGAATCTAATTATTAAACTATTTTAGTATTAATTGAGATTAAAGAGAAGAGAGATGTAGAGAGTTGGGAAGATATAAATAGGAGAAGGGGAAGGTGAATGAGGATGGGTCTTTAATTTTAAACGATTCAGTCGATAATTTTAATATCATTAAAATCTTCGATCGAGAAACCTGTTCAAAAATTGACAAGCGCGATCATAACTTACAGCGAATTGTACATCTCTCTGTTCAAACGATTTAACAATTTTCACTTCAAAGCATGATGAATATATTTCCTTAAAGCTGTTGAATGCCCATACCCACATGAATGTGTATTGACCTGTATTGGAATAAATAGAAAATATTACGCTCTTCGTGATAATACCCACTGCAAATAACCATTTTCAGATATCTCAACGCGCTATATAAAGTTAATTCAAGGATAATTCTTTTTACTTATCGATCTTGATCGGTAAGTATGTTGACAAGTATTTGGCTGTTTGTTTGTGTGTTTGTCTGTTAGATAGACGCGATATCTCACGAAAGCAAGGTTGAACCCAAATTTTGCATGTGCATCCACCATATCTCGGATCAGGAGCCTATCGATTTTGGATGAATTATGTCGTATAATTAGCGAGTTATTAATCAATTAGTGATGAGACACGCGGTGTCGCTGTTGAGTGAAAGCGAAAGATACACGCCGCTAGATCGACAAGTCGGCGGTCTCTGATCGCTATCTCGTTTATTTATTCATTTGTTTTTATAGGTTGAGATTATTTCGAGGTGGCTATTATTCAAAAAGCACAGTATAACCCTTTTTAAATTTTATTTTTGCTATTCTATTCAAAAACCAACACTTCACCAACAAAAGTATTCTGTATGATGGTCTTTCATGACATATATGACACATAGTAGTAACTGTTTCTATTCAGTATTTGATACAAAATTCAGAATTTGGCGAAGGATAACGTCATTTAACGGGTTTATATTTCATGACCTCATGGAAAATAATCCAGTCACGAAACAAACATATGTATTTTTCAGCCATTTTGTTTCCGTCATCAGAAAATGTTATTACGATTGGTAGGATGCATTAAACTTGAACCATTATTCTACTTGACCTGGGATCAGATTCTTTGGAACGTTGAAGTCGTACGTTCCCAATGACTTGTTCATATTTTCACAAAATGCAGGCGCGGTATCCAGGCTTCGGATAAACCTGAGGTTTAGTTGATCACATCAATGGTGGATCTTTTGCACCAAGATCCGCGACGAGATTTTTTCTGGAACTTGCTAAATGTAAGATCAATTTCATCATTTCTCTCGCCTCGATAAGTAAAGGATCCTTTGTCTTGTATGTAAATGTTAGAACACCAATCCGATCCATCAGTTTATCATAGAGTTAAGGATCGGATATGTGGACACGAGTTTGACAAATATATCCGGATAGGTGATTAGTTGAGCCTTCGCTTGTCAAAAAAATAATGCAGCTGCACTATGTTCCAATTTTGAGGCAAAAGAACGGCTGCTAAAGATCTGGGGAATATAAATAAAAAATAGGCTTGAAGACTCGATCGATATTGATAAGTTCAATTTATGCTGAAGGGGCTTACATAGGCCTAAGCAGTCGTAGTAATTTTACATTCAGATGGGTAATTTAAAATTTTCAACTGTTTCCAACATGAAATTTGTTTTTGAATC